TAAAAATACCTAGCCAGTTTTACATTAAACGTTAAATGCCGAACCCTTATTTTCCTATTTTTTCGGATTAGTGAAATGGACTTAATATTTTTTTTATCTCATTAGCTATTCATTTTTCAACATGGGTCAATTATCAAGGAAAAATTGAAATTCAGTATTACTAATCACTTTGAACAATTAGTAATCAGTTTACAAGTCAAGTTTGTAATTGTGACTATTTATCAAAAACTTAGATATCTATAACTTTGTAGGAAAACACCATATTTATCCAAAAATCTAAACAATATACAATATACCATTCAATTAAAAAACACATTTCTTATAAATTGTGTCTTATACATTGCACGTATTTATTAACAATGAGAAATAAAAAATACTATAATTCAAACTTATTTTCCCGCAATTTTCATATATTATCGTTTAAACTTGACAAGAACCTTCAATTCATCGTGACCGGCATGTTTTAAGAGGCTTGAAATGTGACTTTATATTTTTTAACGCTATCATCAAAACTGATATGTTAATCTGTAATTTTTTGTGATGTATAAATATCTATATTATGTCTAGTTATCTAATTCTTGCAGTTGTAAAAATAGTTTTTTTTATCTTTAGAGTTGAAGGTAATGACCCATTATATTATTTTGAAAATGAAACAAATATACAAAAGTCTAATTTCCATATTTTACACTTGCTACTATTAATAGCACTAAATTTATGAAACTTCTGACAGTACAATATTGCCAATTCATTGTTTTTCAATGATTAATTTATTTTAAAAACTATTTGATTATGTTAATAATAAAATATTGGTTATACAGGGTGGCGCCTTTCATACGATGCGGAGGCTCCAAGGAGAACGACAGTTTGTATTAAAATTAAAGTTTGTGAGCATATATGTATGTATATAGGCCAGTGCAAATAATTTTGAATTTGCAAACATTTTTAGAAAGCTGCGACCATTGAAAATAGTTAGCCTTAGTAACCCTTATTAACATACTAAAAGTCCCCATTTGTCCGATGTGTGCGTCATAAAAAAAAATCGGCCGCCATCTTGAATTTTGGTACTTTTTGGGAAAAAATGTAAATAACTCGAAAACGGTGCGTTATAGCGAAAAACTTCAAGAGGTAAAAATTAAAGAGAATAAAAAACTCTATCACAATCAATAAAGAATAGTTTATTATCCTAAAGCAGTGACGTACAAAAATTTTTGGAAAATCGAGCAATTTTTAAAAGGAATCACCGAAATGCAAATTACTATTCTTTTAAGCTTATTAACAAATAACATGGATATTTAGCATCAATTCAACTAAAATACAGTCCTTGTGACATTTTCAAGAAATATTTATTGGTGGTTTAATAATATTTCAAAATTAACAAAAATTGTCAAAGCTATCCTTTACTAAATACATGTAATAATGTGCAAAGCAGCCTCCAACTTGTTCCGGTCGGGGCTACTTGCACTTAAACCAAGGTCTTTTTGTTACCATTTTGTAAACAACTTGCTTTTAAAAATACAGTGACAGTTTGAAAAATTAGGCTACAGGTTGGAAGAAAAAAATAAAATGTAATAAACGAATGTCTTTTTGACATAAATATCATCTACTATCTTAATTTAAGATCTTAACACTTTTTCATTATGATAAATACATTCATACCCCTACAAATCGAATAACAATAATTCAAATTATGACCATTTTAATAAAAATGTGTTACCAACTGGTAACCTAACTTTTCAAACTGTCATCTCTAGAAAAAAATGAACTTTACAATTTTATTCGATTTGTTCTTCATCGATCGATATTTGTTTGTTCTCGCAAGAAATACCATTATAGTTACCACACAAGCACGAACATGGCATATTGGATTTTAAACATGTACCATTGCGATTAAAAAAATATTACAACAAAATATGATTTAATCTGCTGGTCTATATTCTTGTGTCAGTGTCACGTAATTTTTAAAAAATGCCTGTAACTTCAGAGCAAAAATCGATTATATTTACGCGATTAAGGGATGGGGTTCCCATAAGGGACATTGCAGATGCATTAGGAATAAACAAAAAAACAGTGTTGGCTAAATCAAAAAAAAAAATCAATATAATTCAAATATCGTTATAGACCAGGAGTTCCATCTGGGACTACTAATTCTTGTACTACTTTTTTTTTATCGCAGTGGTACATAGTTTATTACATCCAGATTTGCAATTAATTAGTAAATCATTTTCAATACAAATTCTGGTGCCACTGCGTTTGACATTGTTTTTGGAACTAAGGTATCCGTTTTTCACTCCATCCACATACTGTTGCCTCTTCTCCGTTATTTAGCCAATACTGCATTTATAAATAGGTCCTATAATAATGATTTTCAGCTGCGTTCAAAATTTTTACATAAGTACCTGACGAGATGTAAGGGCTTTGTATTTAAAATACCTCAACTGATCTAAATCTTTTGCTAGCCTATGTCGACCATATAATGAAAATATGAATGTATTTCCAGCTTCGACTAGCTAAGATTTTTGTGCTGCAAGATCTAAAAAAAACGAATGTAATTTGTCGCAGATGAGGATCTTTTTGCAACGTTTTGAAAGTCGCCAGTTTACATTATATTTTATTTTTTTCTTCCAACATGTAGCCTAATTTTTCAAACTGTCGCTGTATTTTTAAAAACAAGTTGTTTACAAAATGGTAACAATAAGACCTAGGTTTAAGTGCAAATAGCCCCGACCGGGACAAGGTGGATACTGCTTTCGCACATTATTAGTACACATGTATTTAGTAAAAGATAGCTTTTACAATTTTTGTTAATGTTGAAATATTATTAACCCACCAATGAAAAATATTTCTTGAAAATGTCACAAGGATTGTATTTCAGTTGAATTGATGCTAAATATCCATGTTATTTGTTACTAAGCTTAAAAAATTAGTAATTTGCATTTCGGTGATTCCTTTTAAAATTTGCTGGATTTTCAAAATTTTTTTGTACGTCATTGCGTTAGGATAATAAACTATTTTTTATTGATTCTAATAGAGTTTTTTATTCTCTTTAATTTTTACCTCTTGAAGTTTTTCGCAAACAAACCGTTTTCGAGTTATTTACATTTTTTCCCAAAAAGTACCAAAATTCAAGATGGCGGCCGATTTTTTTTGATGACGCACACATCGGACAAATGGGGACTTTTAGTATGTTAATAAGGGTTACTAAGGCTAACTATTTTCAATGGTCGCAGCTTTCTAAAAATTTTTGCAATTTTAACATGGCGAATGTCATAACTGCACTGGGGTAATAGCCAAATATCTATATCATAATCTCCAAACCATATTATTTCGATTTTTTATTTTAATATTTAATTTTTGACGAGAATGGACGTTCGTCTTAAGACGGTTTCTGTGATAATGAAAAATTAAAATCAAGAAAGGGGGTACTCTGCATCCATATTTAGTTTTTTTGAAAAAAGAAACGCTGATAGCCCAGATATGAAGATTAGTTTCATACCCGAAAAAATCATTTTTTTTAATATTAAAATATGAACAAATTAAACAAATTAAACCATAAGCGACCTCTATGTGTGGGAACTAAAAGGTTGTATTATTAATAAGTAGGTAACTACTAAATCAGAAAAATTGGTTGCAGTAATTACAGAACCCTGTTATAAAATATCTGCAAATTAAGAAATGCAACAAAAGGTGGATAATTTTTTTTTATTTGTAATAAGTTATGAAATAAGCAGAATAACGAAATTATATCACTGTAGTAAATTATTTTTTTTAATTAAATTGTGTTAAATCATTCAAAACTTTAATTCTCTATGATGTAAACTGAAAATAAACAGGTATATAATCCGATGCTATTTGAGAGTTAAGCAATAAACAATCCTTTCTATTATAGGCTTTCTGTATTTCAAAGGATTAAGCAATTCAGCATGGTTTAAAAAACTAATCTTGTTTGTTCTATGTAATATTCTAAAATTATTATCCAAATCAAAGTTATGGTCACTACTAACCAGATGTTCAGCAAAATGTGAAAAACCTGAAGAACTCGCCCTACAACACCTAAGATGTTCCTTAATCCTAGTTTTAAAATCCCGAAAAGTCCGACCAATATACTTAGCATTACAAGTGTCGCAGGACAATTCATAAACTCCACTCAGATCTAAACCAGAGTCTAAACTATCTCTTTTATCTTTATTGTTCAATAAATATCTAACAACTGTGTTATTAACTTTAAAGGAAATTTTAGTGAATGGTTGGAACAAATTAGCTAAACTATAAGAAAAATTATTAATGTAAGATATTAAGAAAAAATATTAATGTAACATAATTATACGTTTATATCTAGTTGTGTTTAACAAGCACTATCAAACAAATGTTATTATTCTTTGAATCTTCTCATCAGACTTGACATAGTACATGTATATTATTTCGTATACTATTTTTCATTTTATTGATTTTGTGGAAAGCACTGTTCATTAAAATGTTGTATCCTATGTTATAGGGCTTGTTTCTCTCTACAATTTACTGTCTCACAATGTACCGTTTGTGTCGGGGAAGTGATCATAGTTTCATAGTTGTCGATTTTCGAAAGAAATCAGTACATGTCTTTGGTACATGTATATTATTTCGTATATTTTTCATTTTATTGATTTTATGAAAAGCACTGTTTATTAAAATATTGTATCCTATGTTAAGGGATTGTTTCTCTCTACAATTTCCTGTCTCACAATGCACCGTTTGTGTCCGGGAAGGGATCATAGATTCATAGTTGTCGATTATCGAAAGAAATCAGTACAATTGACATAAATCTTATTTTATTTTATGCTTTCAAAATAATCATCTTTTTACATAAAAATGTATTTTAACATATATTGTATCATAACTTCCACGCCAAAAAGGCGCCGTTTTTTTCGATCATACATTATATAGTTTTCTTTTTTTTTTTAGTTTTCTTCTTATCTTGTGCCCGTATTTTGTTTATGATAAGTGATTGAATTGAAACAATTATAATTTTCTTATTCTCTATTATATTTAGATTTCAAAAAAAAAATATAACATATTACATGACATCATTATTATTAACTTTGGACAAAAATATTTAAAAAACATAAATTCATTATTTTCTACTCTTATATAATAATTTAGTAAAATAATTATATTAAATTCAACGATATCTTACTTAGAAACTAATATTTTTCTTTTAAAAATTCAATATAAACAATAATAATTAATTAGTTAGTGTTAATCTGCTGCTTCAACAACTTTGTACCTTAATGGATCTTCAATGCCATAAAGGAGTTTGGCACCAAATTTGGCATCAGGATGAGGCCACGACAATTCAAAATTCCTAATAATCTGCAATTTATTAAAAAAAAACATTAGATAATTTTAAGTAACACAATTTTTATTTAAAAAAAAGTAGAAAAAACTTTAAAATGCGTTTAAAAACTGCTTTTCTATTAAACAGAATATTAAACTTTTAATATTTTTTTCTCTAAATTAACTGTCAATCAATCAATTAACCGTCTTTGTATCTATTACGGTTTCCGATATAGCAATGCTCGTACCCCGAATTTGTAGCACCCTGTATAGTTATCTTTAAAAGCAGAACTTACTTTGGACAGTCCAACCTCCAATTCCAAATTCGCCAAACGCTTGCCAATACAAGATCTGGGCCCAAATCCAAATGGTAAAGTGACGAACGGATGTACGTTTTTATACGAGTAATTTTCTTGAGTTGTTCTGAGCCATCTTTCTGGTATGAATTCTTTTGGTTTCACGTAATATTTTTCGTCGTGCGACAATAAAATATTTGCAGAGACTACATCAGTCTGAAAGAAGAGAATAATGAGTGAATGTCTAATCACGAATAATTACACATAACTTGTGATTCCTGGAGACATTAATTTTATTTTATATTTATATAATTGTTTAATTATTTTTATAGTGGTTTATACTATACTAGCGTCTACCAGCGACTTCGTTCGCGTCGAATTAATCATTTGTAATGGTGATGATAAAGCAACTATGTTTCCATTAACATACAGGGTGGCACCTCTCATACGCCGCGGAAGCTCCAAGGAGAACGGTTGTTTATATCGAAATGAAATTTTGTGAGCATATGTAGGTCAATTCAGAGCACTTTTTAAAAATATAGAGAGTTCTACAGGATGTCCCCAAAAAAAGTTACATATCAAAGTTGTGTTTTTTCTAATGGAACACCCTATATATTAATTGATTTTCAGATTCTAGGAAAAAAATAAAGGAGAGTTTTATTAAAGAAGTATATATCTAAAACCTAAGGATTTTGACATATTTCACATTTTGTGAAAATGAAGAGTAAATTTTAAATTTTGATAACAGCTACCTAAATTTTAGTTGACCTTGTATAGCTTGATATTTAATTACAGTAACCATTGTATGTTAAACCAAATTGAAATTTGACCCAAAAAATTATACAGGGTGAGACAAAATTAATATGGAACTTTAGTCACTTTTAAAAGCAAGTTACTTCTTTATTTGAAATGGAACACCTACTATATTTTTCCGGTGTTCAATGGGGAATTTATATATCTTCAAAATGTTATTAAGTTTGCCTACCCCTCAGACAAAGATTTTCCCAGATATTTTAGTTTTTATGATTTTGCGTCAGTAAATCTTAATTATTTGAAAAATCTAGGTGGCTGTGTGATATACCTTTTGTTAATTTAACAAAAATTAAAAATTTTAGAGCAATATACTCAAGAGTAATAAAAAGATACACGTTTATAACATAATATTTTAATTATTACAGAGTTAAAACTAGTATAAACCTATAATTATGCGACAAAAATTAGCTAGATGGAATCAGATGCTCAAAATGCTCCCTTTCCTGTTAACTGCATAAAATGATTGTCTTTTCAAAAGGATGTTTTCATTTTAAAAGGCATATGTGGAGTTCTACATCGAAAAGCAGCTACAATAATTTCTCTCATGTTGTCGATACTAGTTGGTCGAGTTTTGTAAACACTGTCTTTAACATATCCCCATAAAAAAACAGACTAGATAAAATCAGGAGCATTTAAGTATTCTATTATTTGCACACTACATTCACCAATTAATAGAATAATATCAATTTTCTCTGATGTAGGATAGGTTTGCATTTTCGGCAAATATCTGATAATTTTTTTTGTTTTAACTGACACAAAATAACAACTAGTTGTTAAAGTTGGACTAGTTAGACAGCTATGTTGAAGTAACGTCAGACATATTACAGCTACCTAGATTTTATCAAATAATAAAGATCTACTCAGATCAAATCATGTAAATGAAAATATCTAGGAAAACCTTTGTTTGAGGGCTAGGCAACCTTAATAGTATTTTGAAGGGACATGAATTCTCCATTGAATATCGGAATAATATACTGGGTGTTTCATTTAAAATAAGAGAGTAACATGATTTTAAAGATGACCAATGTTCAATATTAATTTTGTCTCACCCTGTATAACTTTTTGGATCAAGTTTTAATTTGATTTAAAGTACAATAGTTAATTTAACTACATATTAGGCTATACCGGGTAAATTCCAATTTAGGTAGCTTTTATTGTAATTTAAAAATTGTTCTTTATTTCTAGAAAATGTTAAATATGTCAAAAAACTTACATTTTAGTCATAAACTTCTCTTATAAAACTCACCTTTATTTTTCTCCCAAAAGCCGAAAATCAATTAATATATAGGGTGTTCCATTACAATAAAGAAAACTTTGATATGTAACTTTTTTTGGAGACACCCTGTAGAACTCTCTATATTTTTAAAAAGTGCTCTGAATTAACCTACATATGTTCACAAAATTTCATTTCAAGACAAACTGTCGTTCTCCTTGGAGCCTTCGCGGCGTATGAGAGGCGCCACCCTGTACAAACTGGATAAAATTTTCTCACATTTATGTCAGCATGAGAAAAAACAATATGGCGATATTATTATATAACTTGGTAATATTTGAGGGGTAGTTTCATCTCGTTGGAATTTGACTTTCGAAAAATCCGTTTGCCAAAAATAAGCTTTCTACGTCAAGCAGTTTAAGCAGAATCGTGATTACTCAATGGTCATATTTTATTAAACACCCTGTATAAAAAAAATCTTAAAATATGTAAAACAACAAAATAAAATATACGTGTTTAAGAGTTTTTTCCGAAAAACTTACCGTTTTTTAAATAAAAAATATTTTAATATTTGAGAGATAGTTTCACCCCCTTAGAATTCGAGTTTCGAAAAATCCCTTCTTATCGAACCTCTACACCCTAAAGTCAATCCGTTTTCCAAAAATCAGCTTTTTACGTCAAGCGCTTTAAACAGGATCGTAATCAATCAATTACCAGATTTTTCGAAACGCCCTGTATACATTTTTAAAAAATCTTAAAATATGTAAAAAAACAAAATAAAATATACGTGTTTAAGCGTTTATTCGGAAACTTGGCCGTTTTTTAAATAAAAAATATTGTAATATTTGAGGGGTGGTTTCACCCTCTTGGAACTGGAATTTCGAAAAATCCCTTCTTATCGAACCTCTACACCCTAGAATCAACCTGTATGCCAAAATTGAGCTTCTTATGTTGAGTGGTTTGAGCAGGATCGTGATTAATCAGTATGTCAGTCACTTAAGGATTTTATATATTAGTGTAGATTTAATTAGTTCACATTCATATTATAAATATTATTTTAACTATTTTTACATTAAATATATATTTCTCCAAAAAATCATATATGGGTATTTTGCCACCGCAAGAAAATCTACAAAATAAAATAGTTATTTTTTGTAAACACTTCTGCGTTAATCCAAACGGGAACTACTAGTCAGAACTTAGGTTTACAGATATACAAATTTGCCTAACGAACAAAAAAATGCTTAACGTTTCGGAAAGTTTATCTCTTTCCGTCGTCGGAAGCAAAAAAATACAAAGAATAAAGAAAAAAAAACTATTTACAATATTTAAATTCAACTAAAAAGAAATTAGAAGCCGCATAGAACAGGCTAGAAAAACATTTATAAATATGAGACAATTTTTCACAAGGTCAGATTTGAGTTTGGAGCTACGGGTACGCATGGTCAGATGCTACATTTTTTCAGTTCTCCTGTACGGGTGTGAGAGTTGGACTCTTGACATATCGTTAGAAAAAAAACTAGATGCCTTCGAAATGTATATTTACCGCCGTATATTAAGAATATCATGGGTCCAAAGAGTTTCAAATGTGGAGGTTCTTAATCGAATGAGAAAACAGAAAGAACTCATGCTTACCATCAAAGAAAGAAAAACACGCTACATAGGCCACATAATGAGGGGTAAAAAGTATGAACTTCTCAGATTAATAATTGAAGGCAAAGTCCAGGGCAAAAGATCTATCGGCAGACGCCAGAATTCCTGGCTAAAGGACATTCGTAGATGGTTTAGTTGCTCATCAATCGACATATTTCGTATGGCTGTATCTAGAATGACGTTAGCTATTTGGATCGCCAACCTTCGAAATGAGACGGCGTCGTAAGAAGAAGAAATTCAACTAATCGAGAACACTTTAGTTTTTTAAAACAGACACGTCTACAAAAACCCTTGACGTTAAAATGACATTATATTAAGTTAAACTTCAAAATTAACAATTACTACCTGATAACAATTACTTAATAAGGCAAAAGCAAGAAGCTCCAAACTTTCTGTATGATTATTTTTAATTTTCACGTATGTTATTTTTATTTATGTTCTTTAAAATCAAAGAAGCGATTGCCATACATTACTAACGTCTACAGATCTATGAGCCATACATTTATTTTTATTAGATTGTCTTTAAAAAGCCTCTTTTATTTTTCTTTTAGAGGTTATCACTTCTTTCATTATAATTTTGGAGTTATTAAAATTTATTCTGTGCCCTGTGACCCATGAATGCTGAGAAATCTTAGATTTGTGAAAATCTCCCTTTCTTAAAAAATCTTTATGTTCTTTAATTCGGTCAGATGTTTCACCAATGTAAAATTTATCGCATTCACATGATATTTTGTAAATTACATATTTTGTTTGTTGTTCTGTATTCATTGGTTTAGTATGTGATAAAATGGATCTAAGTGTATGTTATGTTTTGAAAGATGTTCGTATGTTATATTCTTTTCCTATCCTTCTTATTTTTCCCGAGACGCCTCGTACCTCGTATGTGTCCCACTGAATTAGTGATGGACAAAACTGTTATTTTTAGATAACAGTTGAAACTGTTATAGTTATTTATAAAAAACAGCTTAAAATAACAGCTTAAAAATAACAGGTTTCTTTATTTTATTGCTAAATATCTGAAAGAGTATGAGGCGGTCACCGCCAAGCGTATTAACGCAATTGCAAGTTGCAACAATGACGTGCTCGGTGGTAGTATTTCCAGGGTGTCAAAACATTTCTAAATATCGATTGTTATCTAAAATACCTCTCTAAAAACAGTGGTTGTTTACAAATAAGCGCTGTTTACAAATTGCGATATAAAAAAGCCAAAATGCCACCACTCGTCTATACCTATGCATCTCACTCGACGGGCGAGAAGCTCTTAGTTATGATTTTACCATTTGCGGTCAAAAAATACCAATATAAGAAATTGTGTAGTATTTGTATAGTATTTGTGTGTAGTGTAATTTGAGATTCGAGAAACCCCTCCTTATCGAACCTCTACACCACACAGTCAATCCGTTTGCCAAAAATCAGCTTTAAACTTCAAGCAGTTTAAGCAGAATCGTGATTACTCAATGGTCATATTTTATGAAACACCCTGTATAAATTTTTAAAAAATCTTAAAATATGTAAAACAACAAAATAAAATATACGTGTTTAAGAGTTTTTCCGAAAAACTCACCGGTTTTTAAATCAAAAATATTCTAATATTTGAGGGTGGTTTCACCCCCTTAGAATTCGAGTTTGGAAAAATCGCTTCTTATCGAACCTCTACACCCTAAAGTCAATCCGTTTTCCAAAAATCAGCTTTTTACGTCAAGGGTTTTAAGCAGGATCGTGATTAATCAATGACCAGCTTTTTCAAAACACCCTGTATACATTTTTAGAAAACCTTAAAATGTTATTCTGAAAATTTTTCAGAATAAGTAGATACCTAAATATTGAAACTTAATAACATACTGAAACATACAGCGCCATAAAAACAACTGATGCGTTATTCTCCAACCTGTTTCGAACCTCCATCGACAATCGACCGATGCAGCAGCGTTACTTTCCCACTCCGATTATCTCGACCGCCGCTCTGTTATGCTCGTCCTCGTAACAGGTTAAAAAACAACGTATCTAAAATCCACCGATGCAGCAGCGTTCCTTTCTCACTCCTGTTATCTCAACCGCCAGGCGTTATGCCCGCAACTGTTTCTAAAAAGCTGCTTCATTATATCCTATTATTTTTAAGCTGTTGCAAGCCCAACACGACTATCGACGGCATCGACCGATGCAGCTACGTTCGCCGCGCCGCGCTGTAGCGCATACCCCAGCCTGTATCGATGGTTGTCGAAATAACAGCTTTGTTCGGGTTCTTGTTATTACCGATTCTGAACCGTCCTAGAACTCTACAGCGCATGTGTAAATGAAATAACATCTTCATATTTCCTTCTGCGCATGTGTATCACAGTTCTAGGACGGTTCGGAATCGGTGAAAAGAAAAACCCGAAATAAGCTAACATGTTTTCCATCCATACTAGTTGTTTTTTGGAATTGCTTCGAGCAGCATCGAATTTCGTGGTGGTGCAGAGCGCCGACTTCGTTTCACGAACGGTCGATCTCTGCGTGTCGTTATTTTATATCTGTTATTTTTTAAAAGTAGTAACGGTTGCGTTATGTTATTTCTAAATAATTGTTATAAAATAACAGATAGTTAAATAACAACCCATCACTACACTGAATTACTTGTCCTACACTGTTTACCACATTCGAAGTAATGTATGACATTTCTTACCCCTTTAGGTATTCTGTATCCAGAAAGTACCAAATCTTTAATAGTCGTTCTCATATTTCCGGGAGCTATTGGTGCTAATCTCGTAGTTTCTTTAATGACAGCTTTTAAATAGGGAGAATCCTTTAACATTTCTTTCGTAACAGCACTCTCTTTGCTTGGTAGATGTTTCTTCAGTTCCTCTCTAAATCGTTTTTGTTTATCTGGATTTTTTGCTAGGAAATACAGAGCTGCAGCCATCGTTCTGCCCGTCTACAAAAATAATGTTGAAAATAACACTTATAGAAAAAATAAATTTAAGATATTTAGAGCTTCAGAACATCGAAATTAGTGTTTTTAATTAGCGTTTTTTCCTCTAATTTCAATATGAGCATACAGAAGTCAAAATTAGAGGTAATAATTTTCAATTGGTAGAAAAAGTTAACAAACTTTTTTCGCTAATTATACTTCAAAATTTGCTATTAGTGTCATTTTGACCTGTGATTATCATTCATCAATTTTATTACTGTTTTAAAAGCTAATTATTCGTATGAGTTAGCTATATGTTAGTTATATGCATGCGTCACGTCGTGCATCGTAGACTTCAAGAATGACAGCTCATACTTAAATATGATGGGAATAAAATGGCGTTTGCAGGTTTAGGCCCAGGAACTAAACAACCTTTTTTTTTAAATTGACGACGTTTCGACGTGTATTTTCGTCTTTATCAAGACTGCAATACAGAGGAAAAACCCTACTTAGAATATAAAAACAATATTATGGCTCAGAATCCTTATTTCTATTTTTTTCCTATAATTTTTCTACCGGGTGTTGCATCGTCGAGAGGGACATAGAAAATCCCATGTAAATTTTAATGGGACCAACTATTGGCTTCCCTAATTATTTTAGAGAATAATTTTATTTAGGTTTATAGAAGAGCAGTAAAACCCACATTCAAAAGAATAACTTTAGATATTTTTGATTAGCCCGTTTACAAGTTATCGCCGATTTCTTTTTAAATATTTCTCCTTTCTTATGGCCTTGTATGTACTTATGAGCACCAGTCAAGGTAAAAGGTAACTGTCAAATGAAGTTGTCATTTCGGAAATTTACCTATTTAGTGCTATATGGTGCTATATTATTATTGAAAACTCATACCTACATTGAAAATATTAGCCATGAATTACACTACTGAAGAAAAAGTATTGATGATTAAATGGTATTATCAAGGAAATAGTTATCAAAAGGTGTCGGACATGTTTGCTGCTCTGTATCCGAATAGACCGATACCTGGAAAATCTACAATCGCAAGAAATATCCAGAGATTTGAGACCAAAGGTACCCTAATAAATAACGGCAGATGTGAAGCAAGGCAGGAACAAAGAAAAGATGCAAGAAATGATACCGACTTTGAAGTTTTATTGTGCGTGGAAGAGAACGATGGAAAGATCAGCACAAGGAGACTTGAGGATGAAATAGGAATAGATCACACTACAGCGTTTCGAATTTTGAAACGACATAAATACTATTCCTTCAAATATGAAAAGCAACAAGAGCTATGAGATGGGGACGAAATACGGCGGCAGGCGTTTTGTTTTGATATTGTTACGTTTTTCGTCGGTTCCGTGCGGATAGAAAGTCACAATTTATTTAAACACTATTTATTTAACACTAATTAACAAAAACAATAACGATAAAAGACTTATAGAACTATTTACAAACGATTTATAACTAAGAATTTATTTTGAATTTTAGCGCGTCAACTGTATATATATATATATATATATATATATATATATATATATATATATATATATATATATATATATATATATATATATATATATATATATATATATATATATATATATATATATATATATATATATATATATATATATATATATATATATATATATATATATATATATATATATATATATATATAACTGCCCCCTGTAGGCCACCGCCGCCGTCTTTTATACCGACAGGTAAAGAACTCTAGAATAGTCCATAGATCGTTAGGTGCGTAGAGAAGGTTTTCGAATGTTCTCGTATGTACTAGTCCATTCCAGTGGAACTCGATTCTTCTCGAACGAATGAATCATTGCGGTGTCTATGCGATGTTAAGGTCATCCGAGGGCGGGCCATATTGTGAGGTTAGGTCGAGTCCACACTGGTCCGCAACAATATGATGGAAAGATCAAACACGGATAGGGAATTTTTAAAAAACATATGTTTCACTGACGAATGTACGTTTACCTTAAATAATGAACCCAATGTTCAAAATTATAGATATTGGAACAAAAAAAACCCACACAGGTTTGTCGAAACAAAGACGCAATATCCACAGAAAGTAAATGTTTGGGCATGGATATTCGGACACAATATTATCGGGCCATTATTTCTTACGCGAAATTTAAATGCAGAATATTATTCGAAACCACTCGAAAATCATATTTTACCTGTTTTACATGATGCTGCTAGGGAAAATCAGGAAGTTTGGTACCAAATGGATGGCTGCCCGGCACATAGTACCCTGGCTGTTCGAGAATATTTAGACAATAGTTTTAACGGAAACGTTATTGGCCTAAATCATACAGTAAATTGGCCAGCAAGGTCTCCAGATATTTCGCCAAATAATTTCTTTCCCTGGGGCCATTTGAAAACAGGATATACATGGATAAAAAATACCCAAATCTAGACGAGTTAAAAAATGCTATTTTTGCCGAATACAATAGAATTTCAGTTTACCAACTAGCGAATGTAAGAAGAGAATTTTATGATCGCCTGGGTTATTGTCTAGCAGTCGATGGAGGAATATTTGAACATCTTCTTAAATCCTAAAGTTCTAACAATTTAATAGTACCTAAATAAATAAGTTATTGAATATTGTAATAATACTATAATTAACCTTGTAATTGAGGTAACAGTTGCATATACGGTTTTCGGTTATTTTTGTATTATATGGAAAAAAAATTATATACTCACATTCTATTGACCTTAGAGATTCTAAATATGCTGGGGAGAAGAGAAATTGTGTTTCTTTAAGTATTTTTTCAACCAAACAAACTTACGGGACCGGGGAGCGAATAGGGGTGCTGGGCGGGGTAAAAGCGTACAAACTGGTAAAACACGACATAAAAATATAAAAAAAATCGCATTTTCCATTTAAAAAATTGAGAAAATATATATTATGCACGGAATTTTAAAATATTTTAATTTAATATTTGACACATATTTGACGTTATGAGAATTTTACACTTGATTTGACGTAACACCGACAGAAGGGAAAGCAATGTTGCCAGTCCCACTAAATTTTCTTTAAAATTTTTATATCTGTAGCAAAAATCAAGCTAACCCAAATAAAGCAAATTTAACTTAAATAAACTAATTAAAAATTAAAAAATATAATAATAATATTCTATAAAATAAAGGGTCTATTCTAATGCTGTTAAGACAAACATAAAGAGCTTGAGTTGACGAAAAATGTAATTTTGGTAAAATAAGAAAAAACAAATCAGCATAAGAAAAAATCTAACATAAGAAAAAAAAACAAAAAATCAAACCAAACAAGACCAACCCAATCTAAACCAAACCAACCAAAACAATACCAACCAAAACCAAACCATCCAAACCGCTCAGTGTGTTTTCATTGCTAGAGCTATAACTAAGTAATTCTCTATACCGCTGGTGGCGATTTAGCCAATATGTTAAACTAAAGTAAGTAAAAAAATAAATAAAAACATTTTAAAACCTATGACGTCATTTTTCCATTTGAAAAAAAAGGATGCATGAAATTCCAGACAATTTACTATCTGATTTGGCAACTATGCATCAATTCACAATGTTTGTCAAAATTCAACCTTCACTACTGTCACCATATCCTTCAATGTAACCTGACAATGATTTCTGAATAAAACAGTTCTTCATAGTTTTTTTGAAGAAATTTTACATTAAAAGCTTAAGTAAAGGATTGTAATATGGTTGTGTTATGAGTATCTTTAATCAGAATATTGTTTTTACCCCGCCCAGCAACCCTATTCGCTCCCCGGTCCGGTAAGTGTGTTTGGTTGAAAAGATACTTAAAGAAACACAATTTCTCTTCTCCCCCAGCATATTTGCAATCTCTAAGGACAATAGAATGTGAGTATCTAAAAATTTTCTCATATAATCCAAAAATAGCCGTATATGCAACAATTGCCTTAATTGATTACTTTATTTTACTTTAATTCATATTAATTTGTATTTATAAATACATTTTTAAGATTTCCGATGTAGGAATAAGTTTTCAATAATAATAAAGCACTAAATAGGTAAATTTCTGAAATGACAACTTCATTTAATAGTTATCTTTTACCTTGACTGGTGCTCATAAGTAAATACAGGGCCATAAGAAAGGAGAAATATTTAAAAACAAATCTGCGATAACTCGTAAATGGGCTAATGAAAAATATCTAAAGTTATTCTCTTGAATGTGGGTTTTAGTGCTCTTCAATAAACCTAAATAGAATTATTCTCAAAAATAATTAGGGAAGCCAATAATTGACCCCATTAAAATTTACATGGGATTTCCTATGTCCCGTCCGACGAGGCAACACCCGGTATAATCAATCTCAGCGGTATTAATATAAGCAAAACAGCAACAAGAAAGATATTAAAAAATACAAATAACTATACACACAAATGGAGATTCTGTAGGAGTATGGGGAACTACGAATAACTATACACCAGAACATCTCATCACTGAGTGCACCGAGACGACAAGCTTTCATAATAATAAACTTTGGTACTACTGATATCGAAGATAAAGAACTACCCTCTGCAAAACCGTCTCAGATACTGGCTTTCGTCAAAGCCCTGGACTGTATGGTGAGTTATAACTCAAGAAGTAGGAACACAATAGATATTTACAATGTGAATTAAAAATATCAGAAAAAGTGATGACTAAACTTAACAAATAGGTAACAGATTGTAAGTTTTATTACCGTATCTACACCGGCTATCACGATATCTGTAGTCATTGCAACAGCTACTTTGCGATCTTTTTTTAACAATCTTTCCAAGACACTTCGCTCATGATCGGGTATGTTCGGATTGGGATCGGCTGCCCGAATGCACTCTTCAATGGATCTTTGATTTACACTAAAATATAGTAGATAAAGGTATGTAAATAATACATTTATATTTAAAATCATTTTGCTGTACTCTCAGCCACAAAAAATCGCTTACTCTGTAAGAAAATCGAGGAGCTCTACTGCTCTTCTCCAGGTTTTGGTACTAATATAAGGCCATAAAGATGGTAAGACCTCTAGTTTGAAAAATAGCTCAAACATCTCAACGACAGAAGAAATATATTTTTGTTCATCAGAATCCTTGGATAGATCTCTTTTCAGTGCACCTGAAATTAAAGAGGTTAAGTTACACATTGTAACGTGCCAAAATTTCACTAAACTATTTTATTTCTTTTCTTTAATAATTTAACGCTAATTGATATTATTATTAGTCTGAAATATCGATCAGTTCAATTCAGTAAACCAAGAATAAATAAATCGTACTTACATGTTAACAAAAGTAATTATTCCATCCTTATTTTTAACTAAACATATTTCACACTTAATAATATTTTTTTTTTGCAGCATAAAACTAGTTTGATTTAATACAATTTAATATTTATTTTAGCCGAAATAGATATTTTTTCTACACCGGTCTCGAAAGCGACTCACTCTTATAATTTTTTTTATTTTAGATAAAAAACGAGTTTTGGTATGTTAGTATATGACATATATTAGGTTTGATTGACGTATTCAATGGTTTTTAGTCAGTTCCTGTTTGACCGGAAATGACTAAAACTTTTGATTTTTAAATGCACCCTCGGTATATTTCTACTGTATTTCAAACTTTGAATAAGAAGACTAAGGAAGGAGCATAATGCTCTCCATGTATTCATGCATGGTGGGCGGAAAAAGCACTCTAGGGTGGGGATCCTTGACAGTTCTGTTTGACGATTCATTTGACACATTTGAGTTTGATTTGAAATTTTATGGATTTGTCAGTCTTTACGGAGCTTATTTTATGTTATTTATTATTTATTCTACTACTGATAGTTGTATAAAGGTAGTAAATCTAGATGAGAATTGTGGCAGAACTTAAATTAACAGTGACACTATCGCGATTTATCGAAAAAGACTCTAAAATAGTTGGTTGTGTAGCGTGCGGCGTGCGGTAGATCTCGGCAAAAATCGAGTGAAATAATGGAACAACTTTTCGCTAGTAAGTAACTATATAATATACATACGTGTAGTAAACCGATCATTTATGAAATTCACTTAAATTAACTAATTATATATTTTTTCTTGCATTTTTGCTTTTATTTACTACTTGTCAAAGATTAGATGTCAAAGAATTTAGATACGTCAATTTGATTTACCAGATTTACCTGCTTCGGTAGCGTAGCGGATGTTTGTGTTAATAAATAATTATTATAAATTATTTATTTTTATTAGAATTATATATTTTTGTAACAATTTTAATAACTACCAACATTTATTTGCAACGTCAAATAAAACAACATATTATTGAGTCTACCCCACGTCTACCCTACGTCATAGTTTTACATTTATTAAATAAAATTAGAACGGCACTGATAAACCGAAATTTAAGTCGGCCATATTTGAGGCCCATCGCGGTGAACCTAAGATTTTTGATATGCTCCTTCCTTAGTCTTCTTCACCACAATACACCAAAACACTTTTACTTTTACACTGGACGCGCGTTTCGCTAACGATGTTAGCATCATCAGCAGATGATTATAAACTACTACTTTTAGTTTATAACCAAACCAAACCAAAAACACTTTTACTTTTACACTGGACGCGCGTTCCGCTAACGATGTTAGCATCATCAGCAGATGATTATAAACTACTACTTTTAGTTTATAATCATCTGCTGATGATGCTAAACTGGTTAGCGAAACGCGCGTCCAGTGTAAAAGTGTTTTGGTGTATTGTGGTGATTTAGTGTTTTTATTTTGCTGTGTAACACCAAAGGTTCCAACCTTCAACTGTAATTAGTCTTCTTATTCAAAGATTCCAAAAGAAAAGGACATTCTGAGTAGAATGGCACATCATATGTCAACTTTTGACATTTTCGCGTAAAAAATCGTATTTGAAATTTTAATCTATAGTGCCAGGGCTGTGTTAAAAATAAATAAATTATAGGGGGAGAAACTTCTGAGACGCACTCGGTATATAGAAGAAATAGAACTTCGGCAGTCTCGTTCTGGTATAAGTGATCTTTGAAAACATAACAGTATTTAATTGCAAGCAGTTGCATTATTTTTTATTATATTTTATTATTAAGAATTTAAGAAAATGTTCCTTTCTTTTTCACAAACAATTACATATTTAGTGCAGAATCAGTATTATGATCAGACAGTTTTGTCGGCTGCAAAATGAGGATCAGCCAATTCATTTCTTTGTAAGAAATTTTTCTTTGTGTGAGAAAATTCTACGATTTTGCTACCATTTTCAGTATATTACTACATATTATATTCAATCCGGAACAATCAAAACCACCAAAAGATTGATATTATATCTTTCCCACTACTATTAATAAATTAATTTCATTAATGAGGCAAACTTATAAGTTTTTTTTTGATAATAAGGATATCGGGATCCTCTTCAGCTTCTTGCCAATGAATATTTGCCGCATATAACTTTAGGGCATATCAGCCATTAATAACAAATAAAGGGTGTGGATAGTAGAAAAAATGCAATTTTGAGTGGTCAGTCAAAAACTGTTAATTTTGCTGGCTCTTGACCCAAAACGGTTTTGACCCGGGCGGTCGCCCGGGCCGCCCGGCCCTTCCGCCTGCCCTGTTTGTATACAGACTGGAATAAAAATATAATCGTTTACTATAAACGTTATAAATGTAGCTAAAAAGCATTAGATTCAGAACCGGGAAATCCCGGTACCGAAAGTACCGGCAATTCCCGGTTCTTTTGAGACATCAAAGAACCGTGACTCGAAATTGTTAATTCCCGGTTCTTTCGGTACTTTCGGGACTCGGTAATAATAATTAAAAACATATTTTTTGTTACGTGCGAAAGAAATTTAAATATGTTATTTTCTTATTTAGCATAATATTGCTGAATGTATTAGTTATATTTTTTTGCCTCATGTTTTTATAGGCATTTGCATCTTTAATTGAAAATGTTTCTAATTTAGGTTTGGTTTTTCTTTTTTTTTTTGGCTTGTGTTCATTATTTGTATTCAGTGTTTATGTTTACTTTCTCATGACTTAATAATTTGATATTATTTTTATTTGGAACTCAATTTTTTATCGGTTTTGCTTTTAAGGAACGAAAATATATTAGTACGGTTCTGGAAACTCTAATTAACATTACCAATTAGGGTTCAGATCTTTTTGGCCATCACAGAGCCGGGCCTCGGTAAAAATATTAAAAAAAATATTTTTTGTTACGTGAGAAAGTCCTTTCATACTTTCTAGGGGTCGAAATCAAGCTCTTCTAAATAAGTAATGATGCTATTTCTTATTGTTCTTGCATCTTTTCTCTTTTGAAGTTCCTATAATATTTATTATATTATATTTTAATAGATATTAGCATTTTTAAAATGTGTGAAATATTATACCCAAGTAGCATTTTCACGACTTGCGACCACATGTTTACTAAAAACAACGTTGGATTAGTTACAAAAAATAGTTAGCTCCCTACCTTTGGTATTAAAATAAATTTAAACGTTTTTATAACGTTGTGCCGACGTTGGACTAGTACTACAGCAAAGTAGAAGCTTCTGCGACGTCGAATAAACGTTGTCTTGTAACCTTTTTTGCTTAAGTGATCTTTAGGTGATTTGGACAACGTAGTTACAACGTTGGATAATATAGAGTTTTCCGACGTCAGTTTCAGGACCTATTCCAACGTTATGCAAACGTCGTCTGTTTTACTAATTCCAACGTTGTTTAGATTTCCTTATTCTTACGTTGGTAGGACGTAGAGTCACTACCTTTTTGCAACTGTATTGAACCATAACCTTAAATCTTAAATTTTCAATTCATTGTTCTGTTCAGTCAGACAGTTCAGTGCTGTTTTTGTTTTTATAAAAAAAAAACTTAATTAAAATGGGACATAAGAAAGGTACATATAAAACTAAATTTAAATATACATCGACATATATTACCGACACTTCCTCGTTTATTTAGATTATAGAGGGCGGCACAAGCTAGACTCTAGAATGACTAAATTAGGCAATCTTGCGACTAGTATACTACCTGTTAAGGCCGAACTGCGACTTTATTAGTCCAGTATGCGACTACTCGAACTACTCCATCTTAATCTCCAAAACAACAAAGTTAAAGCCGCCATGTTGTTAAATAAGAAAATGTTTCGTTCTTAAAATAGCAATTCCTGCTTTTTGAATACATTAACTTGAAATATTTGACCCTAAAAAATACGCGGAAACAATTTTTTCGAATGCGAATAAATTATTCTCATTTTACTAAAAAAAAAATTCAAGAAAATTTTTAAAACTTCTTTAATTTCAAGGCCCATTAGTATTTTTTAAAGTAGAAACAATACATTTATCAATAAAGTTGTTTGCGTTTAACTTTTTACCTTGGGTAACGAGTTACAGAGTCGGTTAAAGTGTTTCAATAATTATGATCTTCAAACATCCTCCACACTTAAATACTTTTGTTTTGTTTTCCTTCACTGCCATCTGACATATGTCTCTAACTAAATTATAAATATAATATTTTTACTATAATTATCCCAATTTAGGATAAAACGCGACTTAGACGCCATATTAGTTTTGTATTTCTGTAAATTAGGATTTTAAACAACGTTGCAGTTTGTACTAAATTAGGCTTCTAGCCAACGTCGGTATCCAACGTCGTTTCGACCCAAAAATTATTCTCCAAACTAGTGCAGACTAGGGTTGGCACGAGGTTGTGCCGACGTTGCGCCCCGACGTTTGGTCGCGTGACACGACGTTGTCCCGACGTCCAAATGCTGCTTGGGATACCATATAATATATATGAGTTACCTATACTTTTTTCTTTACTTGTGTCCATGTTAATTTTTTCATGACTGATTACTTAATAATTTGATATTATTTTCATTAAAAATCTCAACCAAACCATCCCTTGTTCTCTGATTGATGAACTGCACCACCATTGAACAAAAATTGGTCATCCTAGTCGAAATTTCCTGTTCCGAAAAACAGCTCAGATTCCGGAAACGCTAGCATATACTGTGTATTCTATGTCACAGAGTATATTTTCTTTTTAAAGAACACACAACATCTCACCCAACATTTACAGTATGAAAGTATTCTTTCTCTTGGTTCTTTTGATGTCAATTTTATTTTTGTTAAGACGTTTCTTATAGCACCTTATAATCGAAAATTAACGGCGCCAGAGATGGCTACGAAATAAAGATTGCTATGATTTATTATGTATATATCATTTTATATGTAAAAAAGTACAGGGAATGTCATCAATGTTCATTTCCAAGCCAACTCGACGCCGTTTTTTTCGATCATACGGTACATTTCTTACCGAATCTTTTGTTGTAAGATATTACTCCTATAGATTCCAAAGCCCACTTGTATAATTCATTTTGAAAATCCTCAGGCATTAAATTATCGGTGCTTGCTTTGGAAAAATGACGTATATTGTCGATCAAATCCCTAGCAATTGTGTCCATACTGCCGACGTACATTTCTGCAGTTCGGGGCTGCATCAAGATTTTATTTACAATTGAACGAATATTGAACCATTCTTCTCCTTGACTACAACAAAGGAATTATCAGAATTGTACAGGGTAGTCAACAATAGAATAAAGTCCATTATTTAATTTGTTTCGAGCTTTACAAAAAAAGTTAAATATAAAAGTTATAGGGAAGGTTAAAATATACATTTCAAAATTATTATAGAGTATACAGGATGCTTTAAAAAATTGTGGCGGATATAACATTTTTTTTAAAGGCAACACCCTATTTTTTATTTTATTTTTGGATTCTGTGTAAAATTCCATAACTTTTTTATATATAATGTTATATATCTAAAATTAATAGTTTTTGTAATATTTAAATTTGTTTAAACACATGTTAAATTGTAGTGTGGTAAAAAATTGTCAGTGGCACTATCGTTTCTGAAGTTGGAGTACCAAAATTTGGTATGAGAGTTTTATACAGATGAAAAAAAAAAGATATATGTAAAGATATTTTAGTTAAATGCTCCAGGGTGTTCACAATCTATTTATGAATTTCAACTACTTAGAATTAAAAAAAAAATCTCAATTTTTTTAAATAGTACACCATATATATTTTCATTTTTTCTAATAGATTTTGCAAAGCTCTTCAACTTTTATTAAGTATATCATATACCTATTTTTAATAGTTTCCGATTTATTCCAATTTTTTCTATTTTTATCCTAATTTTTAATACAAATATAACATCATAGTTGCCGTGAAAAAAACAAAAATATTTATTACTTATTTTAAACAAGTAGTTTATTAATTAGTTGCAATTGTTATTATTAGTTTATATTAAGTAATGAGCGTGACTCATATTCATACTAAGACTTGGCCTGTGACAGGCACAAAGATTTTATATTTGCCTGCCAAAGATTTGGTCTTGCCCACAAACGCAAAGATTTCATCCGAAGGCGGGATTCGGAGGCAGGATCCGCAGGACGGGCCTTCCCGTGTATGGGCAGCTAATTAACTGTGTTTTACGGATCATATTTCGCAATAGAAGTTACGTGAAAAGAACTACAATTAGTAAAGGAAATAGTAATTAATAAAAAATAATAATTAATTAAAAAATTCACAAATTTTGCAACATGCGCAACCATCATAGGCGTATTGAAAATACCAGATACAAGTCGACGGTTGTCGGCAATCACCTGTTTTTTTTTTACATTTTATATTAATTTGTGACGTCATTTGGAAGAGCTCAATAGAAATATAAAGAACTAAACCTTGTTTGGAAAGCAATTTGACATTCGTGACGTCACCACTCCGGCAAATAAATATGGTGCGTAATAAAAAATATGGTGCGTACAGACCTGACGAGCCGAGCGCGAGACGAGAGCAAGACAAGAGCGAGATAAGAGCGAGACGAGAGCGACACATTTTCTATCCATTTTTTACGCCAACCTGCCACGAGACAAGCCGAGTGGGATCATAGTGAAAGAAAGCCAAACACATATTAAATTGCAATATTGCAATTGAATATAACAAACGATGGCCAAATAATAACGCATACAGTAATAAATGTTTGTATCTTTACTATGATATTCGATCTTTAACATGGTATTCATCGTCGGTTTTCCCCCTTTTGGCTGTTTTCCCCTTTATCCCTTACACGACGTTTTTTACATAATGCGTTTTTTAAAGTTTTTAGAACAAAATGTTAAATAAAAAAGTTATTGGTAAGGTTAAGAAGCACATTTTAACATTACTATAGAGTATACAGGGTAATTCAAAAAAGTGTTGAGAATATAACATATTTTCTAATGGGAATACCCTATTTTTTATTTTATTATTGGGTTATACATACGTGCAATTCGGTAACTTTTCTTGCCATTTTTTGATATTATATATCTAAAATTAATAGATGTTGTAATAATTCAATTTGTTTAAAGAAATGTTGGATTTCGGTAGGGTAAAAATTATCAGTGACATAAAATTTGTAAATTCTATCAGAAAAAATGATAATACATACGGTGTACGATTTAAAAATTTGAGATTACTTAATTTTAAATGGTCGAAATTTATAAATCAGACCCAATATCTCGCAGTCGGGCGGGCCTACAAAAAACACGTCCAGACTTTCGAGCTTTCTTTGATCGGCCGTTGGAAAACCGACAGGGGACGGATAGCAACGAGGCTCCGTGGGTTGACTCGCGACGCTCTCGCGAGACTCGTCCACACAGCGAATTTGGAATGTCTCGCGCTCGTCTCCCCAGGTTTGGACGCACCATCGTATCGCTGATCGCCATTCGCAAATATATTCCAGATACGTATAGTGAACAAGTGAACCGTTCGCAACGTTAAATAATTTTGATATTTAATTTTTATCGTGATGGCTTTTTATGAAAGTGTATACATAGAATTAATTGCATTAATTTGCAATAGCACTTCGAACCCACAGTTTTGTTATGGAGCCAGATTAAACCAATCAGAATGAGTATTATGTTACCGTAAAAGCCCGAATATTGGTTAAACGTAGAGTTGCCCACGTAGGAGCCCGAAATTTCGGAATTCAAAACCAACTAAAACGTAATTCTAATCTAACCTAAACTCACTCCTTCTTTTGCATATTTCCGGCTATTACCTGGGTATTCCTAGGTTTAACTAATATTCGAACTTACGGTGTAAATTTATGGAGGGCCCATAAATTTAAATTCGCCGTACAACAAAATTTCACCAATTTTCTCAATAAAAATTAAAAGTTATAAATCATACTATTTTTTATAGAAATGATGGAATAAGGATGAACAGGGTGCCGGTAATACCAAGAAGATACTTGGAATGTAAGTGTTAATTTATACTCGAATTGAGTTGCCTCACAGTATAGGCATATTTTGAACCCTTACCGTGCATAGTTACTGTAGATAAAAATAAATTAAAATATAGTTGGCTCCAACGATAATTTAGTTTGTAGCTTCTTTTCATCATACCTCTCATACTAAACAAAACAGACCCATAATAATTCAAATCTTTATCATCCAAGACTTTCAAGAATTATGAAGTAATCTCACGTCAATTTTTTTTTTAAATTATTGCATGCCTTAAGTATTTGCAAAGTTAACAAAAATATTTCTTTGCATACCTTGCAATTAATATATTTGGTCAAATTTATTAGTTCTGCTTCATATCCGAAATTCAGATTGTGTGTGACACAACGAAGAGTGAACGTGCAACGTGAAAGACAAGAAAAATGGCAAGTAAAAAAGAATGTAAAATTTTAATTACTAATTACACAGTCCTTCCCTTGAGTTCTTCTGCCTAGAATCTATATTGCCTTCCCTAAGATTTTAAATATAAATGATTGAAACTCATAACAAGTTTACCACAATTTAAACTTAAAATAATTATTTAATAATTAAATCCATAATTATATTAAAAAATAACACTTATGAAGTTAATAAATATTAACTATTATATACATTATTTAATAATTATTCTGATAAAAACACGCTGGATTTTTTATTTTAGAAATCATACAGGCTATAATCATTAATATGACTATATGTATTAACAATACTTAAATTAAAATTTATTTGAAGGAATGCTACTTGAAGTATTAACTCGGAATAATTATTAAAAACTGCTCATCGCGTTATCGATGTCGGCGTCTTGTGACTGTTGTCTGGCTGATTGGCCGTTTAGGTATCTATAGCACAGCTTACAGAATAATATAGCTTGGACACTCGCCAATTTTTCCCACGCTCGAATTTAAAACGCCCCACTCCGACGATGCGCTAACTGATTTAAGCGACCGACAGTCAGCCTCATTCAGTCGATGCATAGCCTCCACCTGTGGCGCGTAGGGCCGTATTACGGAAGATTTTAATTCGATTTTTTTTTCTTATATTTAACCATAGGTATTTGTGCTTTTATTTCAATTTTATTTTTATTGATGGAATGGGAAAAGGTTTTCCGGGATGTGCGGCTGCTGGTTGCACAAATAATTATAGAAATAATTCAAAATATAGTCTGTTTAATTTACAATTCAATTCAAAATTAATGTTCAATTCAAAAGTATATTCACACTTTAGAGCTTTTCAAAACGATGAAGACTACTTATTTGGAGGCTTGCTAATGCCAAGTGACCATTTTTTTATTTAGTTTCCTCATTGGAGGCTATTTTTATAAGCTTTTATTTAACTTGCTTTGTATGTAACTATCTATGTATGTATGTATGTTTGTTCGGGGCAAATCTTGTAAGCTAAATTAAAACCACTTCCTTTTATTGTAGGAGATTGAAATTTGGCATGTAGGTTCAGTCCCGATGACAATACATTTTTTGCAAGGCATGACCCGAATTTTTGACAGCTGTCAAAATGGCGGCATTTTTGAGGTTTTTGATTTTTTAAAATTCTATTTATTAAGAAATTCTATTTATTATAAGAAAAAAATTGAGTTTAAGTGTGTGGCACTGAGAAACCAGCATAACTAAAAAGTAGAAAATAAATTTTATAAAAAAACCTTTTTTAAAAACAAGCTTTTATTTAAATACACTAAAAAGAATAAAATAAACTCTTTTTCTTTAAAACTTTTATTATGAACTTAGAACGTCATTACACAATTTTAATATTAGATATATAAAAGCTTGTCGCGAGATTTCTCTACATCGATAAACAAGTAAATTAACTAAAACCTGTGCCTACCCTGTCTCATTTTCAAAGTTTGTGTTATGATAGACCACTAGACCAGGAATTACAAGATAAAGTTGTCGTACGAGATTTTTATGAGTGCAACTGTACACTCAAATCTCACGACAAGTTTTTATATAATATTAAAATTGTGTAATGACGTTATAAGTTCATAATAAAAGTTTTAAAGAAAAAGTTTATTTTATTTTTTTAGTGTATTTAAATAAAAACTTGTTTTTAAAAAAGTTTTTTTATAAAATTTTTTAGAACAATTTTGAAGAACTTTCCTTAAATGAAAATATATTATGTAAATTCGTTAAATTATTTCAGACAATTAAATTCAACCATCAATCAAAATTTTCCTATAATGTATTTTTGTTAAAATTATACGCAAAAGTTAGAATTTATTATACCTTAAAGAATATTAATAAGAACTTAAATGTAGCAAACAAAAACCGAAAGCTCCTAATTTAGAAACATTCGTAAATAACTATAAGTAATCAATGTACCTATTTCATTTTGCTGTTATTTCTAGAAATAAATTAATTAATTTGTTTTTTAAATGTTTTTCTTTGAGAATGCATATTTATTTAAAGTCAACAATTTAAAAAACGTGTATCTAAATTATGTTCTAGCACCAGTCGAATAATTTTTTACGTCACGTGTAAAATTTTTTTGAATACTCTTGGTTTTGGCGAGAGAGCTCGCCGCTCCAGTGTTCCCCCTCTTTCGAATCGCAAATCCGAGCGTAAAAAGATCAAAGCGGCACGCTACACTGTCCGAGCTGGTTTTTACTTAAGCTGTGTCTATAGTTTGATTTCAGATAATGCAGATTTTAATGTGCCATTTGTGTTTTTTTTATTGGAATTTTTTTACATATTTGGTATACTCTATGAAGTGCTCATGTCCATTTTTCAATTATTAAAGTGCTTATTTAGATACATTTAAAATTAATTAATTAGTGTATAGTAACTGAATTATACAATATTCAAACGGTAAAAACTATCAACTTATCCCAATAAATATTTGACAACGCCTTGGATTCATTTGTTTTTACGCCTGTTGGCGGTGGAAACCATGCAAGCTTTTTCTTTGTCCCAAGTTGATAATTAAAAAAATTATAATCATATAAAAAAATATGGTTATTAGTCTAAATTTATTATTTATGTGATTCTGCTCTTTCTCGTATAATTTGCCCCTTGTTTCTCATACGGAAATAGTTAGATTTAAATAGCCAAACTGTACCTAACAACCCATGCCTTGACATATTTTCTTTTAAAATAATATCGCTTTCTTTATCCGCCGGTCCAGACGCGACCTTGCCCTATTCAACTTAAGTACGTGTTGACAGGCAGGTTATTGAACCCATGTTGCTTATAGCATGTCGTTTTTTCAAAGATGGGGCCCATATAAACGCGGCCAGAAGTATTTTCAGTACTAAAAACTTGTAAATTTAGTAATTTAAATACGTACGATGTTAATACGCCACCAACATCCTGAAACACATCTTTTCTGACATTCTTTCTGTAGTGGACAAAAGCAGTCATTCCATATCTTATAGGCCATGGTCCTTCATTTCTCAAAACCTAAAAAATTGTAAAAATCTGTCTTGAATAAAAATATGAAGGAAAAGCTCTAATATTTTTTATAATATTCATGTATATGGAGGGCTTTATAACAGGTATCTTAATAGAACATATGGCTGTCAAGTGCTATCTAAGCAAGCCCAACCTGTATATCAAGTTAGTCTTTACTGTAAACTCTGCGCACCTAATATGTAACTGTAAAGGTCCGATTAAATTTATATCTCCGGAACTAAAGTTTCAGAAAATGTCATACTATATCTACAAATTCATTAACCCAGTAGTAGGTATAAAAAACATTCTTTTTATTTATTAAAAACTTAAAGGGGATAAGCATGCAGAATCAGTGGGAGGGAGCAGCGCACAATAGAACACAATGGAGAAGAACTGTAAACTCAGTTAACGGCGACAACCAAAAAGTAAAGAGATATATGAATATCCGGAGTGCGGAAGAGAGATAATATCACGTTATCTCAGTCACAGAAAAGCTCATGAAAGAAAACGCCTTGCGTAACCATCAGAGATATGGAAGTGGGAGAATGAGCTTCGACGAGTGCGCATCCAAATTTTTGTCGACGGCAAGATGGCAGACATCTTCCAGGTCTCGCTGTCACTTCCCCTCTTTAATTGACATCTGTTTGTTTTGTTTTTTTTTTTCGTTTCTGTTGTTATCTAGTTAAAATTTATTATTATCTCAATTATTCTAAACACTAATTCAAAAGGCTTGTTGTATATTGTCATAGTCATTCTAAAGCTAATACGCCGGGAAAAATGATTAGTTTTCATGTGTAAGTTTATACAACATAATCGTGTTTACAGATGATCCAAAACTGTTTATTTTTAGTTTTCCTAAAGGTCATTTGTAAAAATCGTGATTGTAATTGGGAATGGTCAAAAATAAGTGTATGATGAGGCCATTTAAAGAGGATGTTTTTATTACGTAAAACTGTAAAACAGTGCACTCTTATAGTGTCCATGAAAGCACAAGTTCAAGTGTACCAGAAATATGTCAAATAAGATTGGTCCTTACTTGACAAGAAGATTATTTGGAGGAAAAGAAAACATAAGATAGGGTATTTTAATCGAACAGCGAAAATTTAACATTTTTATTGTAAAGTTTGTTGTAGGTAGTTGTAGTTTTGTGCTAAATATTTCTAACATTAGCAGCAACAGTGTTCAGAGTGTCAAGAGGAGGAGAATTCAGTTAATTAGATTTATGCACAGTTACAGGTATGAAGGTTTTTTCAAACATAGTATCGAGTTCTATAGTCAACATTTTTAGTATTCCTACAATTCTAAAAACAAGGAACATTGGACTGAACAAATGGCAAGATTTATATAGGAAGAAAGGGTATTATGCCAATAAGAAAATTAAATCTGTAGGCAGAAGTTTCTTATTTAAAAACTGTTATGGGGCATATATTAATTTGTATCTGTGCCACAAATCGCTGAGAAAAATCATATAATATTCATAATTGTTAACGAGATGATATTTAAAAAGTGTTAAAAATGAGACTATTAGTCATGAAGCTTACAATGTTACTTTGTTTCAATATTACACTTTTATTCTTGTAAAATCTACGATGAAGTTCAAAAGCATTTTGCAATGGCCTTAAATTGTGAGCCAGGATCTATAGCAAAGGTATTTGATGCAATGAAACTTAATCAGTACCTTCCAGTATGTATTTTAGTAAAGGGATTGTCAATCCCATGTTTCTAAATAGATAAAATACAGGCCAAAGTTGACAATATTACAGTTGAGAAAAAACTATTTTATCTTAAAAAAAATTTCTTAAAATTCTGAGATCATATAATCTAATTTTCTTAATAATAAATTAGGTATATGTATGTTGTACATACAGAATTTTGTTATGGACAAATAAGGATCGACAAGCTTCTTTTTGTGCAAAAAAATAAATGATTTTTCTAGTATTAAGACAAACCATAATGTGTTTTACAAACTTACCAGTAACAGTTTTTTTTTATAATAAAATATTTAGGAATTATTTGGGTTGTTTATCAATATATTAATGACTTGAATTTGGACAAATTGAATTTGTATCAGAATAATTTTACGAAATATAAAATTGATGTTCTATTACAAGATTGAGTTTTTATTGTCGACAAAAACCAGGATAAATACTAATAATAATACCCTTAATAAAATCAATGATGTTTATGTATTATGAAAATATTTGTTAGAGGACATGTTATGTAACAGTTTTTGTAACACAATTTGAAGGGACGAATAAAAAAATAAAACAAAACATATTTTTCTAGGTTTATATTAAAAATACAAGGTCGGTAATCATCAAAAATAATTATGAACCAAATGTTTTTTATGAATATACAACTTGAACAAAAAGTTGTTTAGAACAATTTTTACCACATTTGCAAAAATTTTAAATTGAAACGCGTAATTCAGTACAAGTAAACATGAAATATTGTAAATACTTATTTAATATCATTTCGAGTGTTTAACGACGAAAAGGTCATCTGTCCGTAGCGTCTTTTGTCAGAATATTCGTATATTTAGTGTATTATATACCAATATTGTACGCAGTTTTGAAACTGATAATTAAATAAATCATATTAATGTTAGCTAACCATAATAAATGATAGAATTTCAGTAAATTTAAATTGCCCCCCGTATGGTTGAAAACAGCAAATTGATATTTGATTACTTATAGATTACCACCTATATACAAAATGACACGAAGACCTGGAATATGGCGCCCAACTTGATTAGACCTTCTGCGCATGTTGACGCTCGTTCTCTATCCCTTCTATTTCTCTGGTAACCATCTTCTGATGCGTGTCAAATACTCGTCAGCGAGTAATGGCAGAAAGTAAGTAATGCTCTGGATTAGTGTTGGGAAAATTCGAATTAAATAATACGTCTAATTCGATAGTAAATTAAGACTAACTAATTCGAATTATCTTTTTCGATATATCGAGATAAAAATTAGTAGTATTTTATATTATATCTGTGGTAACCGAATTACAAATGAACATAAAACATAACCTCTTATGGACAAATACGAATATTAGTAATTAGTATAGTACTATTAGTAGTATTCTTTCGTTCTGAACGAACTGAAAATTTTCACTTAAACTAATTTATAAAGGGAATCGGCAAAGAAAGGAACGATCCGATATAGAAAAATCCAGAAATCATTGTTATTTCCTATACCACGTAGGAATAAATCAGTTTAAGTGAAAATTTTCATTTCGTTCAGAACGAAAGAATACTACTATTATTTGGTTCATTTCCATCTCACCCAAATTTCACCGAACACTAAAATTAATTTTCTTCTTTTATCTAAATAATTATTGATTGCAACTGATAAAATAAAAAGAAATACGAACCGCACGTAAACAAGGACATACTTATATCGTTTTAGAAGAAGCTTTTATTTTAGATATGAGCTTTTCAATAGGAATTGAAACAATCATAAACTCGGCACTTTTAAATTTAAAACTTTAAATTATGGTTTAATTTATTAAACGGCTTCGGCACAGTTAATAGAATACATTGAATAAAGAATATTTTTTTAAATTTTTTATTCAGTGATAGAATATAGGTATGGCAATGGTTCAGAATTTGTTTAAAATAGCCCCTAGACGAGCACTAGCTGGGACGAAATTATTTTTAGGTTAAATTTATAATACTACTACATTGCGCGTTTAATTAACAAACATTGCGCGTTTTTTCAAAAAAATTAAATGCAATAGTATATGTAATTTTAGCTGATAGTAAAGAGTAGTAAAAGCTTAAAAAGTCAGCGAAAACCGCATCTTTATATCTTCTTTCGAACCAAAGATATTAGCAAAATTATAATAAATACCAAAATATAAGCCCTTAATTACCTTATTTTTCCAACACGGTATCAGTAGCCCTCTTGATTATGCCCATTCTAACCTAAAAATAAGATAGAAACAGTTAGTTTATTTTAAAATCGACGATATACCAGATTATCATAATATCAGGTGTATTAATATCTAATAATTAAGATATTAATAATAGTGAACAAGAAACGATGATTCAGTGAAGTCATAAAAAAAGAAAAAATAAAAAATAAAAAAGATAAAAAAACTCTGCTAAGACTATCAAAATGTTGATCTAATAGGAATTTGACGTTTATGCTAAAGCAACTTTTTTCCAAAGCCTACCATGACTTCACTGAATCATCGTTTCTTGTTCACTATTATTAATATCTTAATTATTAGATATTAATACACCTGATATTATGATAATCTGGTATTTCGTCGATTTTAAAATAAACTAACTGTTTCTATCTTATTTTTAGGTTAGAATGGGCATAATCAAGAGGGCTACTGATACTGTATTGTAAAAATAAGGTAATTAAGGGCTTATTTTTTGGTATTTATTATAATTTTGCTAATATCTTCGGTTTGAAAGAAGATATGAAGATGCGGTTTTCGCTGTCTTTCTAAGATTTTACTACTCTTTACTATATCAGCTAAAATAACTTAATTTTTTTGAAAAAACGCGCTATGTTTGTTAAATTGTAAGAAAGCGCCCCCTAGCGTCTACGTTCAAAATCTTATTGTTATTATTTTTATGGTATAATATATAGTAAGAAACGCTCTTTTAAACGAGCCCTCGTTTGTTGGATTTTGATCATCCAGTCCGGAGTTATTAACATTTAAATAAAGATAGATCTAATCTTCCCCCACCACTTTCCTTTAGCAGATAGGGAAAATAGTTTTAACAAAAAAAATCCAAAATTTACTGAAGATTATGAAGCTATTATTTATAGTACCCATTATCTAGGCAAAATTCTGTAAAAAATCTATTTTCTTATTTTCCATAGCAGTTGCGCCACCTAGCGGCCGTTTTACAAACTTGAAAATAATTTCCAGCAATTTCTCATAGTACCTTTAGTTATAAATATTTTTTTCCGTAAGCCCTACGGCAAATACATTCCGAGATACAGCCGAGAGCTATTCTTAGTGGGACACCCGGTACAATCTGGTCC